TGTCTATCCCCTTTCTCCTCCCACCGTCCCCTTCCCCTCCTGGTATGGCTACTCTCAATATTGGTCCTGAGGAATTTATCTGTCCTGTAATCCTTGTGTTTCCAGCTCTTGTGTGTATCTATGTACAAACTCTGGTTTAGCCAGATCTGTGAGGTATAATTAGGGTCATGATAGTAGGCGGGGAGGAAGCATTAAAGAACCAGAGGAAAGTTGTATGTTTCATCGGTGCTATACTGCACCCTGACTGGCCCTTCTTCTCCCCACCACCCTTCTGTAAAGGGATGTCCAATTGCTTACAGATTGGCTTTGAGCCTCCACTCCACACTCCCATTATGATTTTTTGCTCTGGGTCTTTGATGCCTGGTACCTGATCTCATTGACGCCTCATGATCACAAAGGCTGGTGTGCTTCTTCCATGTAGGCTTTGTTGTTTCTCAGCTAGATGACCACTTTTTTATCTTCAAGGCTTTAAGACCCCAGATGCTATATTTTTTGATTGCCGAGCACCAACATCTTTCTTCACCACATTTGCTTATGCACCCACTTTGTCTTCAGTGATCCTGTCGGGAAGGCAAGCATCTCAGAGTGCCGGATTCTTAGAACAAAGTGTTCTTGTGTTGAGGGAGTACTTGAGTAGAGGCCCAATATCCATCTGCTTCCTTGATACTAAACCTATAAATATATGCACATAGATCTATTTCCCCATCATTATATATAAATACATTTATATGTGTACATGCCTGTATTTATATCTCTATAAATTCCCTTTGCCTCCTAGTTCTTTCCTCTATTTCATTTTATTTTCCTTTTGTCTCACTATCATGTTCAGTCTTCATTTGGGTTTCAGTAATTCCTTTTGTTTACATTGCCCTTGATCAAGCCCTACCAGACCTCCTGCATCCTCCTCACCATCGATTTTCAGTCACCTGTTGTTCCCTTGTCTCTGAGTTTGTTAACACCCACTTCCTTTTCCCCCACCTCCCCCTTTCCCATGTCCCCCCAGAACTGTCCTCCAAGTGTTCTCTCTTCTGGCTTGTTTATCCTGCCTATCCCATCTAGTTAGACATGCAGAGACAACAATATGCACAAACCCAAGACCGAGCACAACAAAGCAACAATAGAAAATAAAATAACTATTATAACAACAACAACAACAACAACAGCAAAAGGGCAATGACAAAATAAAAATAAAAACCTATAAATAGTTCAAGGTCTGTTTGTTGTCCTTTACAAGTATTTTCCAGTTGAATCTGATCAGGTGCCACCCTGGCCCCACAGTCTATTTTTGGTGTTCCCTGGGGACTTCATTGCTCTGCTCCCCTTTCTGCTCTGTTGCACGCCCCCAGCGTCTTTCCTTGGTATGGTGGGGTCAGGGTGGTCACAATTCCCGCTGTTTGTCTCCATTGTTGGCCCCCGTGGCACTATGGCTCAGGAAGGAATGTCATGTCTCGTGGCCCTATGGTCCTCTCTGTGCATTGGCTGCACTGAGCAGAAATATTTTCCTCAGGGCTTGGTGGACCAGGATGTGCTTCACTCTTTTTTCTTCCCCCCTCGTTTGCTCCTGTGTCCCTTTCCTTGAGTTGTAACTTCAGTGTCCTCTGAAATGAATTATTCTGGGTGGGGAGGGTGCTGTCCACTTAGTTGGTAATAGGACCAGCCCCTCATGCCTCTCTATTGGTTCCCTGCTTCATGTCAGTGTCTTGAGTTCTTGTCTTGGAGCACCGGGTTCAAGTCTGGTTCTTCTTTCCCTGTGGAGATATAAACAACACCCTCCCTTTGGGTGGGTTAGTGCCCTGTTCCCCTGGATACCAATGTCTTTTTTCCCTCCACTCCTTTTAAGTTGTCTACCATATGTATCCCTAAGTTTAGTCTGGCCCTTGCTATATGACCTGGACCTCACCCCAGAAATGTATATTTACAGTAGCTTCTTTCTTATGCCCCTTTTGCATTTTTTCAGCTTACCACTGCGGACTCATGTTGTACCTGTCCTTTTGTGCTTGGCTGACTTTGCTTAGCATAATTTCCTCCAGTTCTTTCCATGTGGCGATTTGCTTCATGCATTCATCGCTGCTTTTTAGGGATGCATAATACTCCATTGAAAGTATGTACTACAGTTTTTTAATCCATTCGTCTGTTGATGGAAATTTGGGTTATTTCCAACTCCTTGAAATTGTGAACTGTGCTGAAATGATCATATGGAATAATTCCATCTGTTTTATATATTGCCAAATTGATTTCCATAATGGCTGTACATACATACTGGTCAACCAGCAGTGGACAAGAATTCCTATCTCTCGACAGGTCCTCCAACACTTGTTACTTTCTGATTTTTTTAATTGGGCTATCTTTGAGGGTGTTAGGTGGTATTTCATATTTGTTTTAATTTGCATTTCTCTTATGGCTGGAGATCTGGAACATTTTCTCATATATTTATTGGTCATTTGGATTTCTGCCCTTAAGAAACTTCTGCTCAGGTCCTTTGCCCACCTCCTCAGTGGACAATTGGTTTTTTCTTGTTGTAAGTTAGCAGAGTATTGAAGATTTTAGTAATAAGGCTTTTGTCTGATGTGCCATTGAAAAAGATGTTTTCCTATTCTGTGGTCTCTTTTATTACTCTCTTGGCAAATTCTTTCGATGTAGACAAGTGTTTTATCTTTAGTATATCCCACTTGTCAGTTTGTGCCTTCTCTGTGTTTGTGTCCTTCCCTATTTCCGATAACCTATGTATTCCCTGAGTCAAAGTTCTCAGATTTGTTCCAATTTCCTCTATAGTCCTAATAGTTTGGGATTGTTTTTCCAAGATTTGTCCATGTCTTCCAAGTTTTTTAATTCTTTGGAGTACAGTCCTTCATAGTACTGTTTAATTATCCTTTTGATTTCACTGGGGTCCATTGTAATATTCCCTCTTTCATTCCTCATCCTTGCTATTGAAATTTATTCCTTCCTTTATTTGATTATGTTCACCAGCAGTCTGTTGATTCTTTTAATCCTTTCAAAGAACCAACTTTTAGCTGCATTGATTTTTTCCATAGTTTTCTTATTTTCCCTTTCCTGAATCTCACCCCTAATTTTTATTATTTCTTGTCTTTTACTATTAGTTGGATTGTCTTGTTGACTCTGCTCTAGTTGCTG